GTTGAGATTATTCGAATTTGTTTGTATTTATCTCGGTTAGATGAGTTTTTTTATTGTGGGTAAAAAAATCTGTTGTATATGAGGTAGGCAACATTGTGTCTGTGACAAATGTCCCTAGATGCATAATTTGATTGGATGATTAAATAATGGATTAGGTTATTTGTTTAACGTTTAACTATGATTGACGTATCAATTAAACTTTATAAGCGATTGAATTGTTAATCAATAAAATATGCACATAGATAGCATACAATGATAACGATCGCTATGATAAGATTTCATATAGTTTGATAATTCATTGGACTATATTCTTGAGTAGATAGTAGATGCTCTACTTTTAGTGCAAGTCTTGTCACATAATATCATATAACAATTTATTCCAATTCTTGTTCAAAATTCTATTGTTAACCTTAATTATTAAATTGATTGAACTTTGATATTTCAATTTAAGGAAATTTACTTTGCTTAAAAATTTATTATGAAATTTGAATTTTTTATTACAGTAATAATGCACCACATTATGATTTTTTTTTGTTAACACATGCATTTTTGACATTCATATTCGAGAAATAAGAAAAAAAAAATTGTAATCTAAACATATGGTTATTATTTTATTTTATACATACAAATAAAACCCATCTCTATTATTTAAAATTTATCCTCTCCTGTAAAATGATCTGGACATTTTAATATTGACAATACAGTAAATATAAAAAGCATGGAATGTAAATTTATTTCATGATGATATAGTAAGACTACAAACCACAGATCCAAAGCATGCATATAGAGTAACTATTGGCGCCAAAAATCCAATCTATATTTGCAATATATCAGAAGTATACGTATCAGGTAAAATATATATATATATATATCGGGTATCCGATATTTATTTATATTGTAAATATAGATCGGATTTTTGCGCCTATATACATGCTTTGGGCCTGTGACAGAGTCGATTTATTAATATATAGATGATAAATAAATAATGACCTATATATTTAATATATATTATATACATAATATTTTGTATGTACGACCTATCATAATTTATTAATTCGCAGGAATATTTTTACAAATTTGCTTTTAGCAATAATGATATAAATATTCTTGATCATTTAATTATTATGGAATTTAATTTCGATAGCGCTATTTAAAATTATATAGCAGCTTCAGAAAACCCGGATAAGTGATTATTGCCACCAGGTGAATGCGGGCGAGTCAACCCACGGGTTAACCCGTGAGTTGACTCAGGAACACAGAAATTATATGATTAAACAAATTTAGTGTTTTTACATCATTTATATTATATCATGTATTTATTTTATGTTCTTAATTCTGCCTATATATTTGAATATTTGACTATTTAAAAACTGGTTAATAATAGAACGAGCTGATAATAGTACAGTATATTAAAGTGCGAAATAAATTAATCCATATATTTAGTATACGTTAAAATGCGAATAAATTAATTAGCGTTTTTAGTAGTATGTTAAACATTCTACCTAACCCACCTATTTATTTAAAAAATAGATAATTTCTGTTAGTTTTTTAAGTGTAAAAATGGTATTAAAACTTAAAAAAATAAATACATTAGTCTTTAAGAAAAAAAATTGTTTATCATTATTTGATCTGGGTCCAAAAAAAATTACATCGAGCAATAAAGTGCTTGAATTTAAATATAGTTTTTATAGAGAGGAGAATGCATAGATTTTGTCAATGGGGACTAGCTCGTAGGACCCGGCGTTGCTCGGGTTTTAGCTTCTAATTTTTTTAATTCTTAGGTTTAAATACTTAAATTAGCTCTTAGAACTTAGTTATTATGAGATTTCTAATTTTTTTATTAGTTTAGGACCCAGACATTGCCTGGGTTTTAAATTTATTTATTTATTTTTAAAAAAAATTAAATTATTGGTTCCTTATATATATATATTAAATTATTACTTCTTGTTTTTTTATTAAATTATAGTTCTTTTTTTTTTATTATTATATATATTTTTTTATTAAACTATCATTTCTTTTTTAAAATTAAATTCTTGCTTTTTTTTATTAATTCATTATTAAATTATTGCTTCTTTTATATATATATATATTAAATTATTGCTTCTTATTTTTTTTTTATTAAGTTACTTTTTTTTTATTAAATTATTGTTTATTTTTTTTTAATTTGTCTTTTTTTTAAATTTTTGTCTTTTTTTAAAAATGAATTATTATAAAACGCACCTATGGTGTTTTATACTTATGTATAATTTCTTTTAATAAAATTTAGGGTTAGGGTTAGAAATTAGAGAATTATTGTTTTTTTTATATAATATATATAGAGCTACTATAAGGGCCCGATAGGGCCCAATCTCAGTTCTTATAAGGTTTTTGGGGATCCTGAACATTTTTACTTAGAGGACCCGATTCCGTTTACTTAGTACATTTTTGAGAAATGGAACCATAGTTGTAAAACACCATAGATGCATTTTAGTAAAAGTCTTTAAAAATTATTGTCTTTTTTTAAAATTATTATATTTTTTTAAAAAAATATTGTTCTTTTTTTTAAATTATTGTTTTTTTTTTAAAATTATTATCTTTTTTTAAATTATTATATTTTTTTTTAAATTATTGTCTTTTTTTATTAAATTAATATATATATATATATATATTTATTTATCAATTGTTTGTTTGTTTTTTTTTATTAAAATATCATTTTTTTCATTTTTTTATTAAGTTCTTTTTTTTTCAAAAAAAAAATTAGGCCAGGCAAAGTTAATTTTTTAGTTCTTATATCCTGGCCAGGTCATCAAGTCCACGAAGAAGAATTTAAATTTATGAAGTGCAGTATTTAAATTGACCAATCAGAATTAAACATACTTAATACTGATATTTTGAATTTAGAACACTATGCTAACCACTTATGTTTTTATAAATTTAAATTGGAAGTAAAAATGCCTTAGCAAGTAAATAGATGCACACTTTCTTGGCTTCTTTGAATAATATAAATACAGATTAGAAGAATGAAATGCATTAATCAATATACTTTGTAAAAATAATCTCTGAAAGAATTGAACTATTGAGATATGATTTTGATTCAAAACTATCTTAACCTAACCTTTTTAATATTCAGAAATTGTTGATATTCATTGAATATTCAAATACTTCTAGTAATTTGACATATTATAGTTCACATATAGATTTTATTTTTTTTATTTTAAATTAAAGAGCGGATTGATGTAAAAACATTTAGCAGATGCTCTTTGCAAATGCACTTTGAGTTCAGTTAAGACTAAAATTTATAATCAATAATTTGTATATAAATCAGCTATATAAAAAATTAATAATATATATATAGATTATTTCAAATTTTTTGATTAATAAATAATAATGACTGAATCGACTTAAATAGATAACTATCCACCTAAAGTTTATTCAATGATATAATTAGAATTAGATAGGAGATATTTTCGTTCAAAAAAAATTGTTCATCAACCAAATTAGCATAGACAATAAACTAATAAAACCAATAAAGAGTGTATATATTGCTTTTAAATACTTTGATCAACAAATTATTTTAACTTTCCGGTTAAATTAACCTAATAATGAGAAATAATAGTAAGAAATAATAATGAGAAATGACAAATAATTTATAATCTTACCAAGATAGAATAACTTAAGGGGCAGCAGACTATACTTACAGACTAATTTAATATAAATATAAAGAAATAACTTATTTTAAATATATCTGCTATTATGATATAAATTAATAAAATAAGAATTAAATTAAAAGTGAATAAGCACTATTTATTTTCACAACAGCACTAATAAGAAGTAAACTCAGGGATTCTTACCATTTTCATATAAAAATTTTATTAGGCTACACAAAGTTAATTTTTCGGTTTGCATTACCCATCTACACATTCTTTCAATTTTTCAAATTTTTTTTTTAAATTCCAATTGTGCCAATTGTGCCAATTGTTCTATTTATAATTTAATCTGTATTACCTGATAGAGATCTTATTTTTCAGAATTGTCCAATAGAACTAATAAAAAAAATTTGATTGCTGACCCAATTTTTTGATTCTATATTATGCAAAGCGAAAAATTAACTAATGCCTTAAATATGAACATGATTCTATTAATTACTATATATTATAGCTGTTTTCATAAATTCTGGAACATCTGTCAAAAAATTGACTAACCGAATATTTGCTGATTCGATAAGGTTTGATTTGGCAGTTATCATTACTGAAATCACAAACTTAGTATTATCAAATCAACAAATATTCGGCAGTTAATTTTTTGCCAGATGTCCTAGAATTTATGAAAAATAGCTATAAAAATAAAATAAAAAAATCCAACAACCGACCAACTGTTGATTTTGAAATCTATATAATGCAAAATGAAAAATTAGCTTTGTATAGCCTTATATATTTCTGGGGTATAGATTAATAAAAATAAAATTTTAATTTTATATAATTCTAAATCTGAAATCTGATCTTTAATTTCAAATCACCTATTACTATAATCACCCAAATTAGAGGTTTATTACTGTGCAAAAATGACAGATATTTAGTAAGTTAATTTTTGTCTGATTTTCCAAAATTTATGAAAACTGTTGTAGCTAATCTTTTCAAAACAAATCCAACCTAGATTGATTGTATAAAATTTTTTTGTATTTTTTTACATTTATTTTTTTTTCTTTTCATCTATTTAATTTCATTCTTTCCCTTTTTTCTTTTACTTCTTTCTTTTATCTTGTTCTTTTCTATCTTCTTTTTTTTTGCTTTTCTTTCTTTTTTTTGCCCCTCTTTTTTCTTTCCTTCTTTATATTCGTTTTCATTATTCTATTTTTTAAACAATCTTTTTTTTTTTTTATCTATATCTTTTTTTGGAGGGATTTATTATATTTGTTGGTCAACATATCAAGATAAGTGTTTATACTTATCATTATGTATGCTTTTTTTACAAAACTAATTTAATTTTTTTTTTTTTAGCCTAGGTATTTGCCTTTATCACTATCATTTGTTTGAAGTTGCCATTTGCTGGATTTGCTGTCCACTGGAGTTATCATAAGCCAGAGAAGTTTTTGATGGTGCTGTTTTTGTGTCAACGTTCGCATGTATTCTCAATTTGGTTAAACTTGTGTTGGACAACAGAAAATTTTATTATTTAATACCAATTACATTTTAGATTATTCTATGTCATTTCACGTGACTTTGCTATTCCACATTTCTGCGAAATTGGCAGAGTTTCAAACTCCGCTTCAGTAGAGTTTGAATTTTGCCAATTTTGCAGGAATGCAAAATAGCAAAAGTCACGTGATGCCGCCACTAAGGTGGACTTTAAAAATTTCTGATTAACAGAGTTACTTATGATATGCTAGTCTCTGTTACAAAAAAAGTAATGGGCCCCATGAAATACCCCTGCTAATGCAGGGGTATTTCATGGAGCCCGTTACTTTTTTTAATTAGTGACAGAGATTAGCATATTATAAGTAGAAAGACTAGCTCTTAAGACCCGGTCGGTGACCGGGTTTGAGTTCCTAATTTTTTGCTAATTCTTAGGTCTTAACATTAT